GTCAATCCCCTCTTTTCTTTCCTAATAGTGTGGTTCATAAGTCTATCCCTCACTGAAGGAATTTGACCCCCAGCTCGGAGGTCAATGCTAAGCATGGTAATTTAATCACCTCTGCCAGTGATTGGGTTAAGCGTGAAAACTGGAATCCTCAAGCCAATGACACCAGGGAGTGTTTGCTAAAGGGCTTCTTGGAAATCTCTTCTTGTTCCTAATAAAACACCTAGAAAAAAGACAGTTCCTTCTTACCTGATTAAACCAGGGGATGGATGGCAACATTTTCTACCAGCCAGATAGTACTGAAGGCTTTGCAGGCCATGTGAATTGGGTGGTAACTCTGCCACTATAGCGTGGAGGTATCCATACACAGTATCTAAACAAACAGGCGTGCCTATGTTCCAACAAAACCTTCTTTATGGACACTGACATTTCAATTGCATATAATTTTCATGTGTCACCAACTACTATTTTTCTTGTCACCTTTTTCGGGGGGAAATTGGGACTAAAATAGTCTAGATCAGAGCAGGGACTAAGTTTATCACGATGTACCTGACACCTAGCCCAGTGCTTATGCCATAATTTGTACACAAATATTTGGTGAATAAATATTTACAAAATCCTTGTGATGAATTGACCCCTTTATCATTATAAATATTTATGTACCCAACATCGGAGCAACTGTATAAAGCCAATATTAATAGATGTGAAGGGAGAAATTAGACAGCAATACAGTAATAGTAGGGGACTTCCATACCCCACTGTCAACAATGGATAGATTATCTCGACAGAAAATCAATATGGAAACATTGGATTTGAGCTACATTTTAGAGCAACTGGACCTGATAGAACATTCCATCCCACAGCAGCAGAATACACTTTCTTCTCGAGTGTACATGGAACATTCTCCTGGATAAACCATATGTTACGCCACAAATATTTGATGAATGAATGATAGGTTAATTTCCTGACTGGAAGAAATATAAAATTGAGTCCTCTGGGGTGATCACTATCCAATTGCCACATGGAAAAAAAACAAAAAATCTAGAAACACAAAGAATATGGACAGCAACCCCTGTGTGGAGACAAGGAAATGTGGGTTCCCGAGATAGAGAGCTTTTACTACTTTGGGCATTCCTTAGGTTAAAATGAAAGCTCTCTCTCTCTGGTTGAATTTTTCTTCCTTCCTTCCTTCCTTCCTTCCTTTCTCTCTCTCTCTTTTTTTTTTTTCTGGAGAGTGCGCTATTACAATAGTCTTATTTTCATCATCACCAAACTCTTTAAAGCAAAAGTCTTGTTAAATACAAACCGAACAGGACCGGCTACATAACTTGCAGAGACCATCACAAAATGCAAATGTGGGGCTGTTTGTCCAAATATCATTAAGAATTTTAAGACAGTGCTAGCAGATCATTAACCAAGCATGGGGCCCTTCAAGGTGTTGGCTCCTGTGCCACTGCCAGTCATTCGTCCAGGAAGCTGGCCCATGAAAGCAGCAGAGGGAGTGGGAAATTGTCCTATGGCCAATTGTCAGATATCCCTGGCTCACTGTAAAAGCCACATGTTATGACCTTGATGAGAAATCAAATGACCTCTTGCCACTCCAGACACCAGCTTCTTCCTCCAGATACTGGCACCGCTGGGAACATTCGAGTCCGTTGCTCCGGGCAATTTGGTTTTAAACTTTATTTTTCAATGTACAGTTTCAGATTATACAAAACATAGAAAATGGACTACTTTAAAGGCACATTAAGTAGAAAGTATCTAACTACCCTAAAATCACATTTGTCCCCCGACCAAGATTCAAACTTAACCTCTACGCCTTTCCCTAGCATCTCCCCATCACCACTGCCCCCCAATATACAAAACTATCCAACTTGCTGTATTGTAAGTAACCTTTCAACTATTAGCAAGTTTAGTAATTCCCACCCAGGCAGATTTTAAATGATGCTACAGCTTCTATTCAAGCTACCGTGTTTAGTTGTGCTTACGTATGGGCTTGGGGGTCTAGGTTTCATCGTCACCAGTGAATATAGAGCATGCTAGGACTTCAGCCTGACTAGGGATGCGCACAGGCACACAACCCATAGCAGAGTGTGTGGCAGGGTGGGGGGATGTCTCCAATTTCCCTGTATTCAGGTATGAACAACATTCACGCAGAGCAACAAATCAAGCCTTCTCCAAACTCATTTGAACAGAGACCCGAAGTAATTTTAATGCAAGTAACAAAAATGAGTTAGTCTGTCTCCATCCATAGCCCCTCAAATGAACGAATTACAGTACTTTATAAAAATGTCCTAAAATATGCAAACTATAGTTCCCTCAAATGCAGTTGTTACCGGTAATATATTTGGTCCTAATATTCGCTTATTGGATGTCTTAGCTAATCGTCTTTGTTGTTGTCTGTGAATAACTGATCATAAGCACCAAGTGAGGCTGAACCTACTGACGGGTAAGAAGGCTGGGTATTTTCTCGCTCATGCCATCCCCTCTCCCACCTCCCCAGGGCACGTCACACCACAGGGGGAAAGGCAGCACTCCTGTTTCGCAAAAAGCCCCGGCATCACAGATGGATGTGGGCACTGAATGCTAAACAGTAGTGGAGACCAGCCAGGAAAATCCATGGGTCATTTCAGATACCCACTCCTGAAGTTTTTGGGGGATGGAAATTCATGCATTGCTTGGGGATAAGGCTTTCCAGATTTCTGGTTCTAAGGGGTTTTGTTTGTTTCCATTGTGACTACCAGGGAATTATAGAAAAGCCGCCTGAGCAGAAAGCTTGGGGCACTTAGAACCACCTTCCTCCACGAGGTATACGTAGCATCCTGCCAACTCCAGGGGTGTGAGCCGCACTCCTACCCAAAACAGGAGTAATGACAGTTTTCCACTGAGGCAAGAAGTGACCATTTGTCCTGCCTCTGGCCCCATGTGCCCCTGTACTGTGCTGGTGGCCTCTCTGTGGGAGGGGCCCTGTCTCAGGCAAGATGTCTGGATTTGCTTGCCCCTGTGTTTTCAGAGCCTTGCACAGTGCTTGGAACACAGTAAGCATTTAATATTTTGTTGAAGCTGAATGAATGAATGAGTGAATGGGTAGTTGGAGAGAAAACCCAATCCGGCACTAAAGAGGTATCCACGGTGGCCCTAAACAACTCAAACCAGGCATTTCCCCAGCTCCACTGGAACTGCACTGAGGGCAAACCATTGCCCCACGTAGCAGAAGGTCATTTACATGGTGCCAGTGCTGACATGCGCAGACGGGTCCCAGGCGCACCTCCCAGCAGCAGGCTCACGACACACAAAGGAAAGGACAGTGAGGTGCAAAGAGCTTCTCCCGTAGGCACTTCCCGAGGTCCCCCCATTGCCACACACCTCACAGCACTGAGGACCAGCTCCCCAGAGCCCTACCCCTCCGTACAGTCTCTGAAGCCCTGGCAGCACTTACCCAGACCCTAGCAGGCAGAATCCCCCGAGAGATGCTGTACCCACTTTACCCACTGAAGTTTGAGAACCACGGCAATCTGGGACCCTCCCAGGGCTTTGTTCGCTGTCAGGACCCTGGGCCCCTCCAGGAAAGGAAGTGTTCTCCGGGTGTAACGCACACAGCACCGCCCCATCAATGCCACCTTGCTCGGGCTGAGTGGAGTGATATTTAGGCTGATTTAAATCCTAAATGCTTTTAACAGGCAGGCATAGGGCAGGTACCCTCCTGCCCACCCACGGGCCTCTCTTCTGAATCCTTGGTTGTGTTCTCTGCAGCCTTCACTGCTCTTTGTAATTCATTTTTCTAATTCGTTTTTAATCTGTCTCCTCTGCTAGACAATGAGTCCCACGAGAGAGACTGTCTCAACATGGTTTCCCCTGTGCCTGGCATAAGCATCCCATCATTTATGTTGACGGATGAACGAAGGAATGGTGAATGGTCCTCTGAGGCTCCAGAAATGGGGGTTAGTAGAGGCCAGGCAGTCTTGAAGGCAGGCCAGGAAGAGAAGGAAAAGGCCTTCTGAATTCGGGTAGGGAGGAGGCTGCACCCCCATCCCAGGGTGTCTGGCTATCGGGATCAAGGCCTGGGACTGGAGTTTGGGTGGTCCAGATGTGAGCAGCTGTGCAAGAGACAGTGAACAATGAATAGCTGATGGAGGCCAAGGTTTGGGCCTCCAGTGGCGTCTAGACCCACCTCCCCATCTTGACATGATGAGATCTTTAACATTTGTGAGGCAGCTCTGCTCACCTGGCCCTGGGACCGTGGTCCTCAATCTTAAGGCACCTGAGCATCACCAAGGAGCTTGTTAGAAATGCAGGTTCCCTGGCCCCATCCCTGAAGACTCTGATTGTGTAGGTCTAGGGAGGGACCCTGATGGCCTGCATTTTACTAGGGGTCACATGCTGAGATTCGGGTGAGCCTAAATCTGAAACCCAGGTTAAAGCTCACCTTCCCTAAGGCAAGCAGGTGACTCTGTCAGCAAATCTGGGTGGCACTTTCTGGACCCAGCCCATTACAGGAGGGTCGTGGCTGTGGTCTGGATGTAGACAGAACACCAGGGGCTATACCTGTTTCTCATGTGGAACTTGGCTAAACATCTGAGGAGGTTTCCTCCCTTACCTGGACCCCCCCATCACTCCACCTTCTACCACTAACACAGAGAGATTCAGGAAGAAGAGCTGAGGGGAGGGAGGCTCAGCATAGCCCAAACCTAGGGGAAGATGTCCCCCGAGACCTGGCTTTCTTGCCTCTTGTCACATCACATTACATCCTCATGGTTAAGAAAGATCCTGCTGA